CTTCCTTCCTTCCTTCCTTTCTTCCTTCCTTCCTTCCTTTCTATTTTTTTTAAAGAATATTAATGTTTCAGGAAAGAATCACAGGATTTCAAAGTTTGTAAATCCCTCGAGCTTGCACTCATTACAATAGTTAATATATTCAAATATCTTGTCAATAAGAATAACCCTAATTGCATGAGTGTCATTTTAAAAAAGTGTATAAATAATCCATGGAGATTTAGAAGATATTCAAGCTTGGAAAGGATTCCGATGAATATACGTTCTCCATTTGGGCAGTCTTAAATATATAATTTAACCATAAATTCCCATAAATATTCAAAAGAAATAAGAAAGAATTTATAGTAAAACTTGCCGTTTTTCAAACAATAGAATTGTCTCCTCTGGGAAGGCTTTGTCTTACAAAAATTGAATAGAGTGAACGCACTAAAACCGTGAACATTAAATAGTACTAATTAGTACTATTTCATACAGAATCCTTTGTTTTCTATTGTTTAATTATCAATATTTAGTGCTAAAAATTAGTATTTGTTTCACAGATTTAGTGTGAGCACTCTAGCGCACTGATTCTAAAAATAGCTTAAAGATTCGGACAAATATTGCATTCTGTTTAACAGCTACGAGGATTATACGAACCGATTTTATTATTTTTAGTTAAAGTTACAATAATAACCCATGTAAACTAAGATCAACTGCGATCGGCTGTGAAAATTATCTGCTGAAAGTAAACTTGTAAGTTTGTTTGTCTGAATTTCGCCTTTGTCTTCGTTTTTATGACGTCACGGTTGCGCTGAGCTATTCAAATTTCATGCTTCAATGAAACCCTTTTCTATGTATTTCTTCGCAATGGCTTTATGTATAGAGTCTGTAAAGTGTTAGGTATTGTCGTTTCAAGAGCTTATCAGGAAAACTAGTTCTTTTCAGCGGTTTCCACCGCAATAGCTTTAACTTTTGGCGTGATGTTTTCCCATTTCAGACGCCACGTGTCATTTCCTGGACTATCATTCTTTGTTTAACGGTTAGTTACTCATGAGAACCCACATGAATATGGATAAAGTAAATTTGTTAGTTTGTTGTTACATATCTTTGTTTTACGGTTGCGCATGAGAAGACACATGAATATGGATACAGCTCAAACAAAGAATGATATTATCTAGGGAATGAGACGTGGCCTGAAATGGGAAAACATTGCACTACAATGGATAAGGTCTTTTTCTCTGAAATTCCTGTACACGACAATATAAACTCGCAACCTAATGATGGAGATCGTCTTCAACCACCTCGAAAAACCAATGAAAATTCGACTTGTATATTCAAGGGATTTTTCTTCATCTTCGGTTTTTCCGTGAATTTCATTCACGGTTTGCTCACGTCTGCCACCCAAGACATCCTTGAAGGCACCGACCACCCCTCGTCTTTGGTCGTCATTCTACTCAACACTCCGTACATAACCGTGGCTCTCATTCTACCTTATTTTATCCAGAGGATATCCCCATTCGGTTTTGCAGTCAGTACATTCGTGTCTTTTGAAATTTCTACAGGATTGTCTGCCTTCAGCAGGAATAACTTGCAGCTATTTGGACTAGTACTGACGTCGGTTTCTACTGGTATTGCTGAGGTGGGTTTCTTTTCTTCCAGTGTTTTTAACGAGGATGTCGCTGTAAATATCTACACTTTTGGAGCAGGAGCTGGGCTTTTTGGTGGACCATTATTTTACTCTGGTAAGAAGAATATATAGAGCTGGGCATATGTTAGATGTGTTGTGTTCTGCAATAAAACACAATATACTCCCATTTCGAGTTTCAAATCTGCTCAGCTTTAGCGTCGATGTTGTACAAATGTGTTATTTTCTTTTATTCTCTACTTTCACATCCCCATAATACTTTGCGTCTTTGGGGGGTAACCAGAGGGTAAAAACCCACTTATAGGCGCTATTAGTAGCCATGCAGCTTACAATCATGAGTGATTTGTTAGTATGTTAGTATTATGCCTCCAGATTGGGATAGGCTGTTGAACCGGGAGACAATCCCCTACTCTTCACAAATAATTCAACAGGTTCTTTATGTCCCCCATTTTACTGCAGGCTAGGAAGGGTTGGGAGACAGGGCCTACGGTTTTTAAGTCCTTATCCGAAAACAGTCAAAACAGCAAACGCCGGAGTGGGAATAAACTCTGGACCCCAGGGTAGGTTAATGCTGGCTAAATCACACATCTCTTGATTGCAGCGATGACAAGCTGGATTTGTATCTCACCAAGCACAACTTTAGCGGCGATGCTTTGCTTCCCCCCGATTGTCTTCATATTTCATTGCTATGTTGCTAAGAAGCAGGGGGAGGCAAGCGGGAAAGAAAATAATTCAAAACGTGGGGTTGTATACACTCTACTTCCAGCCCAAGACACCGAGAATAGCGATCGAAAGAACCGGCCCAGCTTGACTTACCGCGGTAGGTTGTACGTATGTTGGAAAACTCTGCCTGTATGGATAGCCCTATTCCTAGGGAACTTTTGCGAGATATTACTTCTACAGTCGGTAGCTACGACACTAGCATTCTCAAACTCTTCCTTCGATCCGGGCACACATTACGTGTACTACGTAACCGCAGAATCGATAGGGCAACTTGCTGGTCGATCATATGGGGCTATCATATCTTCGTGTTTCAAAATCAATACCACAACAAGGCACGTGTGGATCTTCTCTGGAATACTTGTCGTGGATTTATTTTTTCTCATCTATGCTTCCTGGTACCGTTTTCTTCCAAACGTTTGGATCGTATTGTCACTGATGCTAGTGACGGGGCTGAGTGAGGGTGCGCTTTTTGCCAACTCGTTTTCCAATGTTCCGCGTGGTCTAAGCCCACACCAGGTCGGCTTTAGCCGTGGCTTATTAACAGTAGCATATGGAGGTGGCATTTTAATGGCAGGATTTTTGGGTTTCTCGACAGAAACTGGACTTAAAAGTCGGTGTCTGCAAACTGGTACGCCGGCAAAGTACTGCATTGCAAGGTCTATGTCCGGGTGGAGCGAGTCGTCTTGTGCGCGGCATTAACAATTAAATATTATTGATGTTATAAAGGTGCATGATGATACGACTGATGCTGGAACATGGATGATGTTTGTTGGAACAAAATCAAACTTTAGCGGGCACTGAAAATTGGAAATGGATTGGTTTGGTGTGGTGTTGATGTTGATGCCATGCTGACTGATAAACCATAATGTGTACGTTTTTTAAAATGGATTTCCGATCAAATTCCATTTGTTCAATGGCATCATTTCTTATACACAGGAAATGCTGAATAAATTATAAATTATATCATTAAATATACAAAACTTTTCTGGGGCAGTAAAATATCCTGTACAGGGCCGATCGAGGAATTGATGAGGGGCGTATCCCAAATGAAGAAATGCGCATAGAGATGTTTGATACATACTGAATCACTTTGGACCATACTGGAAAGCGCTGGCTATATAGTGGTAACGCTACAAATACACTATAAGAATATTATGTCGGTAGCAAGTGCCCCAAAACCTTTCCGGGGCATCACCATAAACTCTAAGTCATAACTGTTAAAATAGGTTTATTTATAAATAAACAAGAAATAAATACCAATTATGAACATGAACGGATATCTTTACAGAAAATATCATAACCTCTCGTAAGACTGAGTATAAACGTCTTTTGAATAACAATTTTGTCATTATTGAAATATGTTTGAAAACTGAAGAGAAAAAACGAGTGAAAAAGTTTAAAATATATGTATGTTAGTTATAATGGAAAATTTGCAAACTTCCCCCTATAGACCATTTGTCATTCCCTTGAGTATTATTTTTTTGTTCGCTAATCACATTTAAGAAGATACGTTTGATTGGGAAGAAACTTAAGCTAAAAATGTGTTCGAAGGAATTTGACATGGGAAAACATGACATTCGAAACAGAAGGTTGGGCTCCTGTTAAACGTCGAACTTCACATTAGCCGAACCTAATTGAAAAAATGGATAACAAGGCGGTCCGTCTTTGATGTCATTAGGTTCAGCTCACGTGAAGTTCGACGTTTGACATGAGCCTTAGAGTTATAAATAATAATAAAAATTATGCATATAATAAATTCTACTTAAAGTGCACATGAACCCTTCGACAATACTTTCAGTACTGATTCTACA